AAACTAAGCACGGGCGCCTGCAAACTGACGCTTGACATGATGGCATCCACGGCCATGATGAATCAAAGTGGAAGAGCAGAGCGTCCCTGGCCAAGCCTATCAGCATATAACGAATCCAAGGGTGCAGCGTGCAACTAGTGGAACTACTGGATGCATTAACAGCATTTCCATGTGGTTGAATCAAGCCCTGTTTCATGAGTTTGTCAAAGATTTCTTCCCCTACCTCTTCGGCTGTCTTGTCTTGAGTGCCCGTGATGAAGCCCTCCCCAATCCACCAGTAAATTAGAGGCCTTTTTTTTATCACAGACTCCGCAGGGAAGATTGAGAAAGAGAGGAAGCAGAGCCTCAACTCGGTGCCCTCAAGATGCTCGTAACTCCTCCTCATATTAGCCATGGCACGACTTTCGTAAATTCCTTTCTCCACGCCCATTTGTGACAACTCTTGTGATAGCTTCTTAGCTGCTGTTAGACCCAACTCCGGCTGAGACCAATGCGTAAACTCTAAACTGCGCTCAGGGTAACTCGGCATTAAGTTCACTACAGGGATTGAGGCTTTTATTTGGTTGACATTGTCAATCATGCGAGCCAGGAAGCTGGTGATTGCCTCCAGGCCGATGAAAGCATTGTTCTCATCATCTCCCAAGAAAAACTTGTCCACTCGACGTTCTAAGTCAGTGAATTGGTTGAACAGATTGTGCTCCCAGAGCGTAACTCTAGGTAGCAATTTTAAGTCTTCCATTTGTTGAAGCCCATCTTCAATCTTTTTGAAGCGACTTAGAACCACTTCCTGATCATCACCTGGATTTTTGTTGGCAATGACCTTGGCTTTGGCTTTTCCCAGACGATCCAATAACTTGGGCAGGAACTTCTCTACATTTCTTGAGGTTGAGGCTGAGGTTGAGGGGACATTTCTCATTTCAGATGCAATTACTGAAAAGGAGGTAGCCTGGTGCAGATAGATTGAGGGTAGCTGTGGAACTCAAGAGATTGATGCAATCAAACCTATCATGTCTATTTGTTGCAGATTAGTGAGTCCTCTAGAACTAACCCACCATTAATTTTTCTTTTAAAAAAACAAATAAGATAATAGAATTAACAAGTAGTAAAATCATCTTTTTTAAAGAAATACAATAATGACTCAACGCTAACAATCAGATCTCAAAAAAGTAACACTGAAAGAAAAAAGAAAAAGAGAAAGGAAAAAAGCTCATTATACTCCTTAGTAGTCCTAGAAGCAAAGAACAATGGCAAAAGAAAATATATATTATTCCACACTTAATCTTTTAAACAATTATCTGATGTTGGCCAATCTTAACCTGCTAATTGAGCATAAAGAAGATGGGTGGTGCAAGAGTAGGGTAACATGTCCAAAGATATGTTTTATTAAACATGTTTTATTAAAGAACGGTAATTTTTCAATCAGTTCAATTCAACCGAGGGAGGAGAAGTAGTTCGGTTTATAGCTAAAATGTCAAACAAAAAAGAAAAACAGAGGAGGAGCTCCTTCTCACAACAAATCGGATTTTGACACTTGTCATTTAAATAAATAATGCTTCCCTCCTTGCCCGTAAGGAGGTACTCCTCCTTACCTACTAATGTGGCTCAACCACAAATTAACACTTGTCTTTTTCTTTTCTTTTTATTCTCAAAGGTGCATTTATTTTTCACTTTAATTATTCTTAATAAAAGAGACACGTGTTAGATTGTGGCTAAACCACATCATTAGGCAAGGAGGAGTTCCTACTTATGGGCAAGGAGGGAAGCATTATCCAAAAAAAAATTGAACGAATTTGACAAGGGTCAAAACCCCATTTGTTTGGAGGAGGAACTCCTCCTTGGTTTTAAGGAGGCACATCAGTAGGCAAGGAGGGAAGCATTATCCAAAAAAATAGAAGGAATTTGACAAGGGTCAAAATCTCATTTATTTGGAGGAAGAACTCCTCCTCAGTTTTAAGGAGGCAAGCTTTTTCCAACATAGCGTTGATTGGTGAAACGACATCAAACCTTCAAATTTTGGTAAACGATCGTGTAGCTTCAGAAATTGCTACCTCTATTGGAATCGCCAAAATTAATTAATAAAAAGAAACAAATTTTTTTACTATTATTCTTGGAGATGCTCTTAGCTGACAATCACAATTCAAAAGGCAAATAAAAGAAATAAAAAAAAGAAAAGGAGAAAAGAAAAAGCTCATTATACTCCTCGGTAGTCCTGGAAGCAAAGAAGAATGGCAAAAGAAATATATATAATTCCCCACTCTTTTCAAACAATTATTCAATGTCAATTAATCTTAATCTCAATGAGCATAAAGAAGATGGTGTGCGAAGGACCAGCAAGGTAACTTGTCGAAAGGTTTTTCCTAACAATCACAACTCGAAAACAACACCTAAAGAAAAGACAAAAGAAAAGGAGAAAAGAAAAAGCTCATTACATATACTCCTTGGAAGCAAAGAACAATGATAAAAAATATATATATATATATATATATATGATTCCCCGTTCTTTTCGATCAGTCTTAATCTCAATGAACATAAGATGGTATGTGATGGACAAAATATGTGTTTTATTTAAACAAGAAAATATTCGGTAAGTATAGTTAAACTCCTCGGTTCGGTTTTATAGCTGAAACTAAAAAAAATAAAAGAAAAACTAGTCCAAATGGCACAGTGCGGATTCTGAATCAAAACTAGAGACACGAACTTTTTGTTACCAACTAATAATGTGACAGTTTCTTATTCACTGATACAAGTCCGATAATACATAAGCTTCGTCACCTTCGTATAATTATACTCATGCAAGCAAAAACCGAACACTTAAAAAAGGGGAAAAGAAAAGAAAAAGCTCATTATACTCATGCAAGCAAAGAACTTTTTAAACAGTTATTTGATGCAAAGAACTTTTTAAACAGTTATTTGATGCTGAGCATGAATAACGTGGGTGGGAGAATCAGTTCAATTTTATAGCTAAAAATATGAAAATGATCGAACTAGAGACATAACCTTTTGTTCCAACTAACAGATCGCCTTACCAAAAAAAACTAACAGATCAAAGCGCTGAACAAAGGCCAAGGCGTGGTTAAGTGCTCTTCATATTACTCCCCCCAGTTTCTGATTAAAATTGCAGTAGATATATAAATATAGTGTTGAAGGGGAAGAATGGCGGGGGATGTTGCTCAATTTCTTCAGAAAAAGTTCCTGGCATCTCTTAGGGACACAGAGTCTGAATTATCAGGTGCTGTTCTCATTTCTTACTTGCGAGCAATCAAAGATATTGTCATAGCTATAGATACGCGAAGACTTACGGAAGATTACTGCCGTCGCTTTATCTATGTGCTCCTGGACCTCACCGACGCATTCACCAAGTGCCAGGTTTTCTCACATGAGTGGAAGAAGCATAGTCATCACAAGACTCATTTAATCTTCAACCATTTGAGTTTGACGAAGATTTGTTTCGTGCGGAAGATGAAGAAGCGGCTGGCTGCAATAAAAGGCATCTTCGAGGATGAGTTTATGAAAATGGAAGAAAGAATTTATAACTTGAGGGAATCATCAAGTCGTCCTGATCCTGAAGAGAATTTAGAGAGCGAACTACCTGTATTAATAGATCGCGGTCGAAAATTTGAGGCCGAAGGTGTGGGATTTGATGAGCAATTACGGAAGATTTGGAACTTTCTTTTAAAATCATCGCCGTCGTCAGGTGCTGGATTTGCGGCAGTTGGGATACTGGGCATGGCAGGCGCAGGTAAGACCACTCTGGTGCGCGAGTTTTTGAGTTGGTGGATAGTGCAAGGTGAATTTTCTCCTATAATTTGGTTATGCTTGTCGAATATAATCAAAGAAAATAAACAAGTAGAAGAAGAAATTGAGGTCAGCATTGTGAAATGTATGCTTAGTAAGTTGGACCATGATGCCGTTGCCGATGGAGATGGCATCATCCAGGAGGAGGAGAAGATAATAAGTAGTAATAATAATTCTGGTCATCTCCTTGCTGCGCTCTTGGAAAGGCTCAACCAACATTTATCAGATAAAAGGTATTTGATTGTGTTGGATGATGTGTGGCACATGAACGATTTCTACTCGGACTTAGGACATAGGCAACAACTACTTCAGGTTCAGGAAGGTGATAAGAAAATTGGGGATCGCTTATCGCACGGATTGCCTAAGGGTACTGGTGGTGTGGTCATCGTCACTAGTAGGATACCGGAAGTGGTTGAAGCTATGGTGGTACCGGCGGAGGGGTCAGATCAACATTATAACAGCTTGATTATTCCTCTTGAGCCTTTGGACAGACAAAACTGCTGGGATATATTTAAGTACACTGTTTTTGGTTATATTCCTGATTTTGAATATCAACAACATTTGGAAAAGGTTGAGAGTGAAATTAAGGATCTATGTTGTGGTCTACCATTGGCCGCTAGGACACTCGCAGGAATCATGTCCCAAAACCCCCAAAATTTAGGGTATTATTCTCAACTTAATTATACTTACAGTAGTACTTTAATTACTTACTCCCTTATCTTGGTATCGTCTTTCGAATTATTTACGTACCAATATGAATATCCCATGCAGGAGGACTTCTCCGCCCTACCGCAAATCTGAGGAGTTGCTTAAATTACCTGATTTGGATGTTGATCCTGATTCCTTCCATATAAAAAAATCCCCAGTGTTGGTGTTTATTGACATGATCGATAGACAACAAGGAGAAGAACTCATTGGGAAATTTTGCGACCTCCTTACTAAAAAGCAGGTATTTTTCTCATTGAACAACGAACTTTGAGTTTGATAAATATTATGTGAAATGAAATTTTAACCTAGTTTATGTATAATTAAAGCTCTAATTAACATGCATGGATTTGATTAAAGTTTGTTGTAAATATAATATTGTATTGTTTTCCTTTATTTTCTAGGTTTTTGGTGTACTACTGAAAGATGATAGTTATTTTGGAGAAGCAAAGAAATATGATAATCCTGAGACGGTGCTAAAGGATGTTTATGGTACTCTAGAAAAGCTTAAGCAAAGTAATTGTGGTTTTGCTTCTAAAATTCAAAAGAAGATGAGAATTATAGTGAGTAACATGTTAAATTAATACGTATTGCTAAAGCGTAGTCTACACTTTTCTAAATAACATTTTTAATATCTTTTTTTTAATTTGACATTATATATATATATTTCTTCTACACTTTTCTAAATAACATTTTTAATATCTTTTTTTTAATTTGAAATTATATATATATTTCTTTTATCTCAGGTTGTTGGCCAGGATGCTGTTGTTAACTGGATTTTGGGAGTTATCTGTGATCTTAAATTGCCAGAGTCACCCTCCATTGCTCCGGTACCAATACCGTTCTACTCCAGTGGAATCGGTGCTTCGTTTGGATGGGTAGGGCGTTTAGCATTTATATTAAATTCTTTTTAATTGGCAACTATTTAATATTGAAACGTCTTTTTAATAACAATATTAAACAATGATAATATATACATGCAAAAAAATAATTGACCTACATATCTAATACAAGATAGGTAAATAGATAGATACATACTTCAGTTAAAAAAATAGGTACAATAATTTACCTACATATTAGATAGATAATTCGAAGAATTTATAAACTGTATTAGGTACATTATCATATTATTTCATAATAGGAATATTATTACATTATCGTATTAGATAGTCAATTCGAAGAATTTATAAATTTGTATTAGGTACATTATTCTATTATTTTTCATAATAGGTACAATTTTTATAGATAGATAATTATTAGATGACAAATAAATAATTTGTGTAAGACACATTGGAATATTTGTGTGTGGTGTGCATTAATATATAGGCACTAACGTTTAATTCTCATGGGATCGTATGGAGATGCCAAGGAAAACTTCCACCTCAATATCCCCAACCAATTGCCTCTTGACAGCTGGACATAGCTCTCACACTTTAAAAATTTGGTCAGAATCTCTTTTTTTTTTTGGCCAATTGCCTCTTGCCGACCGCTGCTATCCGCCACAACAGCCGGCCTCGGCGTCAACATTGACCGCCATCCTCCATATTACGCTTCACTTTGCCCTCCTCCATTGTCGTCGGCATCGTCTTTGTCCTTCTCACCGGCTCACTCCCTCTCTATCCCCCATTCCCCGTTCTCTCTCTTCCATTCCTTAGTCTTCCTCAAATCACTCCTCCTCCATCATCATCACCCACCCATCCCTTCCTCTTTTCCTCTTCAATAACTCATCATTCATCACCCCACACACTAGATATTGATTTCTCTCCTTTTTATTTTTAATTTTATTTGAATTATTTATTGTGGAGTTCTGAAAATTTTGGAAATGGTGGACTTTGAGTTGGCTTCGGGTCTGTGGAAGAACAGCGTACGGTTTGGGGGG